GGGGGGGGGGAGGGGTTGTGCCCGGGGAGGGGGGGGGGGGGGGGGGGGGGCAGCTCTCCCAGCCCTACAGCTGGGGGCAGAGGGGGGACCCAGTCCCCCACTGCCCCACAGGGAACCATCTCACGGGCGGGGCATAAGGTCCCACGGGCCCAGCAGCCGCCAGCCCTGGGGACGCTCACTGGGCAGGCAGCGCGGCCGAGCTCTGTCAGCATCACCGCCCCGGCACCCGGCGGTGCCAGAGCACCCCCTGACCTGCCCCCATGCCCTCCCACCTGCCACTGTGCCAGGCCTCTCCTCCAGCGCACGAGGGGCTGGGGCAGCATGCTGGCCCCCCCCCCCCCCGCCCCGTTCCGCACTGCCTGGCATCACCACCCCAGCCGGAGGGGGCTGTGCGGGAGCCCCTGGGAATCAGATACCCCCGGCTCATTCTGCAGAGGGGGAGCGAGACCCTATGCTAATGGGGGGCTGGGGGATTCATGCAGGGCACAGCACCGCACGCAAGATCCGGTCTCGGCAGCCAGCCCCTGCTGCGGGGGGGAACCCTGCACCCCAGGCTGAGCCTGCCCCCCCAGCCCGCATGCGGCAGCCCCAGAGCTATCTGCCCTTCATGAAGCCGTCGAGGACGCGGTCGCTGCGGTCGGAGAGCCAGTAGCCGGCCATGGCAGCCACGGCACCGATGAAGATGGCGGTGAAGACCATGTCGCCCTTGGCAGCCAGCGTGGCAAGGGCGCAAATCATCACGCCAAAGAACATCTGCTGCAGCACCACCACCTCGTCCTCCGTCACGTCATCAAAAAAACCCTTCTCCGGGGCATCTGCAAGCACAGCGGTTGTGGGGGGGCCACAGCTGAGCGGGCAGAGCCCCCTGCCACTCCCCCTGCCCACAACCTGTGCCCCCCCGCTCACATCAGGCCGTACCGGGGGGTTTGTCCTCCACGCAGTGCCCGTCCCGCCGGACGTGGCCGCTGGCGCAGACGCACCGGTAGCTGCCCTCCGTGTTCTCACACACCTCCTGCGCTCCCGTGCACACTGGCTCCTCGGCGCTGGCGCACTCGTCTACGTCTTGGGGGGAGGCAGGGTTCAGGCAGGGCTCGGGCAGCGAGGAGCGGGCAGAGCCACCCCCCAGCCCATGGGAAGCACTCACCCAGGCACTTGGCTCCATCCCGCCAGTAGCCCTTGTTGCATTTCTTGCAGCGAGCCGGCCCGGCGCCCATGCAGCCAATGCAGGCCGTAGAGCAGTCTGCCGTGGGGAGAGGAGCCAGGGTTGCCACTGGAGCCCCCTCCCAGCCCAGCCAGCAGCAGCCCAGGCCAGGGGGGATGGTCCTGAGCCCGGGGGAGCCGTTCGAACAGAACCACCCCCCACCTCCGCCTGACCTCGGCACTCATAGGAGCCCTCCGTGTTGACGCAGAACTGGTTGGCTCGGCAGTGCGCCATCTCCGTGCCGCACTCGTCAATGTCTGAGAGAGAGGCGTCATAGCCCCGCTGAGTCCTGGCTCCCGGGTCACAGACCCCTGCAGCCCCGAGCTCGCCTGCTGCCCACCCATCCCGCCGCGGTACTCACCGATGCAGCGGTGCTCATGCAGCATCCAGCCCCTCTTGCAGCGAAGGCAGCTGGAGTCCTCTGGCCCCGTGCAGCGCCCGCACGCCCGGTAGCACTCTGCGAGCAGGGGAGAGCAGCCATGGGTACAGGCAGGGGGGAGCTGCCTGCACCCCGTGCCAGGGCAGCACCAGGGCAGACCCCCCGGCTGCACAGCCCCCCTCCCCGCCAGGCCAGACCCCTACCTACCGGCACATACCAGGTGGCTCTTGTTCCGCGAGGCCTCATAGTAGCCATCACCGCACTCGGCGCAGAAAGGGCCGCCGTAGCCCGGGCTGCAGACACACAGGCCGGTCCCGCGCCGCGTGCCATCGCCATCGCATCGCCCGTTGCCGCTGCAGGGCTGCCGGGGCCCGCCGGCACAGGCTGCACAGGGAAAGACCAGCTGGCTGGCAGCCAAGGTGGAGGGCAGTGTGCCGGGGGGAGCCCCTCCAGCCCGGGCACCCCCACCAGCACCTCGCTCATGCCACAGCTACTCACGCCGGCAGTCGGGGCCATAGGTGCCAGGCGGACAGCAAAGTGCCAGCCTGTCCATGCACAGCCATTGGAAGAAGTCGGGGTGCTGCTGCCGCCTGGGGAGGGGGGAACATGGCGCTCAGCCCCCTGCCATCCCCCTGTTTCCCCGTGTCCCCATCCCCAGACTCACTCGTGGAACCACCACTGCTCCACATGCTCCTCGCTCTGCTCCAGCAGCTGGTGGCAGGCAAAGTCCGAGGGGGCACAGACGCCCTCCAGCACCTCCAGCAGACGGGTCTCACTGTGGGGACAGGGGGGTCAGCATGGGGATGTGTCCCCCTGGGGCAGCTGGGGCCCGCCAGACCCCCCACCCCTGGCTGGGGAGCACCCACCTGTGTTGGTACTTGGCCAGCTTCTCCTCCTCCCAGGCTGTGTTGCCCCCACCAAAGCCTTCGTGCTCTGTCCGCTCCAGGCCCTGGGCACATGGGGGCGGGGGCAGCGCAGGCATGGGACCCCCCGATGAGCTGTAGGGTCCCCCCTGGGCTGTGCCACCCTCCTCCCCCAGGGACCTGTCACCCTCTCCCCTCCCCAAAGCCCAGTCGCTGTGTCCCCTCAGGACCCCCTCCGCTCCCTAGGGATGCTGCGGCCAGTGCTCCCCACCTCACCAATGTCTCCCCAGGCCACCTTCCCCCTCCGGGGCCCCATCACCTCCTCGTCCATCGTCCCCGTCCCGTCCCAGCC